TTGGTCAAATTAGCAAATTATAGGTGTAATGTACATTCAATTAATCAGGTTCAAAGTACAACAATTATCAATATGTTTAATGTTAGGTACCGTAGGTAGTTAGGTCGAACGGTATCGAATTTATCAGTTATAGCTTCTGGGCTTTACAAATGAAAATTTTCCAGCGGTACCGACTTTCAACCACCAATACTTTAAGGAGCTGTATCTCGCAAACGAATCATCGAAAAATAAAAATGTTAACGCGTAAATTCATAAAAAAAATGGTTTTATTAATTCATGATCTTTTTATTATATGTTACCATTTGAAAATCAAAAGTTGATAGTGGTTTCACCAATAAATATAATTGTGAAAAAAATTAAAATAGTATAGAGTTTTAGAAAAGCATAAATCTAACAGTTTAAAAAAATAAAAAATAAAAAAAGTTAATACTTTTTGAGATAATTAGTGTACCCACTTAAATGGATCACCCTGTATAGTGTAGGTATACATACAAAATAATAATATAATGCAGCTATCCGAGGTGTCTCAGCACATGAAAGAATACTTCATCAGAATTAAAGGCCTTTTGGCCATCAATACAATATAATGCAACAGTTATTGAGCTGTTATAAATAAAAAATTAAAATGGGTGTTCGACCTATTCTCGAAAATAATATAAAATATGATCGTTCAAGCTTTGCCTATTATACCTTACCGATTTAGATGTGAATCAGAAGGGCGTTAACCAGTGTCGATCTGACTCAACCAACTACCCGTCAATCGCCGGGGGCTCTTGGATATTTTTCAATATTGGGGACCCATTTAGCTAAACGGGAAAATGTATATTGAAGTCACTTATAAATCGTGACTAGGGTTCCAATCTAATCAATTCGTACTTCGTAGACATTGGACATTGTAATAAATAAAAACTGAAGTCTTGTGTACCTACTAAACAGATTTTACATAGGATTCAAATATAGGCATGTTCTTATACTTCCATATATATGGGCACAATTAGTTGAGTGCAAACGAGCATTTTCAAAACTTATAATTTAAAAAACCCAACTAAAAGATTAGATCTTTAAAAATCTAACGATACCCGGATCCTTTAAAATTTAAATTGTCTATTTATTGAAGAAAATATAATTTAATTTATAAACAAAGATAAAATTATTGATATGATCTTCTAGCAATTAACTAAAAAAAAACTTACTATTTTAAAAATAATTTATAATCTATCAATAATATTTTTTTTTTAAATACGAAATTTTCCATATTGTGTGCAATTGTAAAAAAGTATTTTTTTTTAAAAATTATTATAATAACAAATAACTTTAAAGTAATAAATTATTTTTTAATTAAAATTGTTTTATTGTTCTTAATGTTATAAATTTTAAAAGGCAGTTATTCCTAAGAAATGTACTCGGCAAACGTTTTTATGGTGTGCTGAGGCGTATTGAAAATTAATAGGTCACCAATCATGAGCCAGACCGACACTGCCGTAACTCAATATAATATATTATATCTATAATAATTAATTTAAGTACCTAGCTCTTAGCGCATACTCAAAAAAATATAACGACAAATTAGAGTGGTTATAGAGTAGAATAGAATAGTTTTTAGAGTAGTATAGAATATTGTGAACACTACGCACGTTTTTCTTACTAACGTATGTAAGGTATTAACAACATACAAACGAAGAACAACAACAATAATCGGTTATCTCAATAACCTTACAATTATTCATGAATTTATCATATTGTTATAATTCACAATGATAATTTAAATAATAATAATAATAATAATTCATTGTGCACCTAAGTGTGTGTGTGAGTGTGTGTTGGCCGGTCGGTGACAAATATAATATATAGGCTATTGACCCATATCTGCTCCGCTTCGGTTACGGTGTGGTACGGCGGAAATACATCGACATAGTACCTATCTATGTGTGGAGTTTGTAAAAGTAGGTGAAGGCATCTATACATATTTTGTAATATATTTGCAACAGGCACTCATCATAGTATTATTATTAATACCATCTGATTGTAGTTGTTCGGACCATTGGTTTTCATTGGTTTTAAGAAATGTATAAGTAATATACTAGTATGAGAATAACGATATTTACCTACCAGTAAGTCAATTAATATTTATAAATGTATAACTAACAAGTGTCAAGTAATGACTTATGAAATATATTATGTAGATGTGCATGGTGTATATATATGTATATATATTATAATACAATAAGAAAATCCATTTTTGTTCTAATGTTTAGTACAAAAGGTGTGAACAAAAGCGCAATCCAAACAAAGTACCTTAATACTACGATAAATATATTTTATATTAAGTACTTGCTTGCAATTTATGAGGTATAATATTTTTTTAAATCATTTTCTTGTGATTATCATCTCGGGTCAACAAAATAATATGATTATCAATAAAACAATATTACTCGAATGGGCTTCGAGATTTCGAAAGTCACTCAACCGTTGGATTGCCACCTTATTATTCTGCTTGATGCTTGTTGTTATGAGAATAAAATTATAATATAAAATATAATCTCTCCGTGTTTTGAAAATCAAATAATAGGTATTTATACATTTATATATAATGATGTTATTGACCGGATGTAATATTATTAATTAATTATTAATATTACAGTATTGCAGATAAGCTGGTACGAAGCTGTACCGTCAATAACAGTAGGTAAACGCAAACGTTTTTTTTTTATTGATAAAATGCAAAAACAACTGGCAATCCCGTGCTGGCACACGAAATTTTGTTTTCGTCTGTATAAATGCAACGGACACCATTCTCTTCTAACATCTAAGTGACCTTAGAAAATGTTTGATAATTATAATTTTAACTTTTAACCGCGGTCGGTCATTGTAACTAAGTATAGGTATACACCTACCTATTTTATTATAATAATCGTTATATTTGTAACTTCTTATTTGAATACGATTGAGTAAAATAAATTAAAATGTTTGTCTTAATGTTTTCAATAAAATAGTAATTAAGTTATACACTATACTGTGAATGTTGAATTCAATGTAAATACTAAATAGGTAAAAAATAATATTGCCAGCGAGAACCTTTATAATATTTATCAGTACACATATTATTTATAATAAACAAATAATTATTGTTTGTACTTTGTTGGGTAAACATTCCCATGCTTTGCAGTTACTAAAAAAAAAAAAATGTTTAATTCGGTAATGAGTCGACATCACAAACATATTAATATGTATTATATTATGATACCTAATGTATTATGTCGATATATTAAAAAAAATATAGGTAATATAATTGATTTTAAATACTAGTACCTACTGATGTATAGGTACAAGCTCCAAGTACAATAAACATAAAGCTATTACCATTGATTATAAGTAGGGAGGTACACTGCAGATTTATGTCTATAGCATTTTTGTTAAATCCTATTTTATTCAGTTTTTTTGTCAGTACTTGTATAAATTACAATAATACTATACTCCCACTAAAATAGTAATTAATATAGTAGGTAAGTTATTAATACATATTTTCAGTATTAGTAGAGTATTTTCCGTGTAGTGTATAGTTCGTATATAAATATATGATACTAGCTGATCCCGTATGGCGTTGAACGTGAACAATTAAATTCCCGTGGATTTACCCCATCTTAAACTCTGTTAAATGTATTTAAACTACACACATTTTTAACACGGCAATTTGGATGGTTTTGTTCAAACATAATAATATATACAGGTCTAAAATGATACCCAATGTTGAGAACTATTTTATTTTCTGTAACAAGTAGCAACACTATAATATAAACAAATAAATATAAGTTTTTCGTGAGCTAACAAATCTCTGTGTGAACTCTTATTTTTTAAATGCCAATTTTCGAAATTCCTTTCTCGGTGCAGCACATCCACGAAGGTACCATGAAAATTCCATATCTCTATATAGCTGTCATAGTACTATTATAGAAGTTTTGGCTGTTCGTTGATTATGAATCTGTCAGTTACTAGTAAGTAGTAGTACTTCTTTTACACATACCGATTTATACTGAATACAATTTGTAGGTATAATTTATTACATCTTAAATATAAATTAAATATATTTATATTAACATTTTCTGAGTTTTTGATCGTCATTACAAGACGTTCACTGTGGTATATTTTTAAATTAAATTAAATTTTATATTTTATATTTCAACAATGCAGTCGTATACTATACACGCTTATTAATATTTTACGAAGCAGCACATCGTGATTTATTTGTTGTGAGCGGCCGAGCAGTAATGTCGTATTATGGTACCCTATCATGGACATGTCCACACAAGAGAGTCCTACACGCAGGGATATAAATTTATAATACTTTTAATACCTTTATTCGGATTAATTTGTGCTTAATTAATTTAATAACATTTACCAATTGTAATTTATTAAACACATTTATAGTAGTTTTTGTATATCAGTTTAATGTTATTTGCATACAAATATTTTTTGTGTGTAGTTAATTTAATTTGATTTTTTTTTTTTGAAAAGGATGTTATTTTCATTTAGGTTATTTTAGAATCGTCATCAGAGTTTAATGAACACGTTAATTATATTATTAAATGTTATGAACAATCGGGTTAAATATAGAATTAATAGGAATTCAATAAAGCTAGAATGTATTAGAATATAATTAGGAAAGTACAATTCATAAGCTAGGCACATAGCTAGAAATCTAGGTAAGATGTGACCGAAGACAATAAAAACCTATGTAAAATCGTATTAAATTATATTATTATTATATTATTGTGTAACAATACTTATTAAAATATTAATCCCTAAGGGGAAGTTACACCCGTATGTCTCGTCTTACAAATGTACAACATAGAAAAAACTGTTTTCCGGGGGATAGAAGTACCTATAGAACCACTCAAACTGTAGTCGGTGATATACGATTGCGTACGATTGTCCCTTTTAGTAAAACGATTGCGTACGTTTTTACGATTGCGTACGATTTCTCTACTTAGGCCTTAAAAACATTACGATTGCGTACGAAAATGAGTGCAACGTTGCCAACATGTGTGTTGCAAATATAGTTCTTTAATAAATTTCCACATTTCGATATATGTTTGCTTAAATTTATCTTTCAAAAAAATAAAAATAACTGGTAAATAAAAGCCATTTTTGAAACAATGGACAGTATACATTTGCATAAAAAAATTAGGTGCGAATTGAAATGTGCCATCTGAAAAATATTCTGTGCAAGAACTCATAAAATTCAAATTATCTTCAGTCGTGATACAAATAAACGATTTATTCATCGGAATGTGGATAAATTTTTTATTATTAAATTTAAAAATATCATCGTTTTGCATTTCCCAAATTTTATCTATGGCTTCATCAAAAGATTTTGGATATATAGGAACGTTTTTCCGTCTTGCCATATACATGGCTTTTCGGACAGAAGAAATATCCTTATGTACAATATCTGTACCTACATTTGTCAGTAATTTTTTTCGTATAATTTTACTTGGTCGAGTTGAAATTGAATCGCTGGCTTTTCGTTTGCAATTTTCTCTGAGAACTTGGCGGTCAATATTTTGAGATGTTATTGCTTCATGTTTGTGTTCACCGATTACCTTAATAACTTGAGTTTTTTTGACATCAGTTAAAATACTGGCATAACAACTTTTGTTATAACATATCCATTTTAATAATTCGTCTTTGCGTTTTCTTATAAAACGATATTTATGTGAAGAAACCACAACTAACTCTTTCCCACGTTCTGACATTATAATTTTTATAGAATTCTCCATAGTTACCGCACTATTACTTACTAATACTAAAACAAAAACCAGTGACTTATCGAATGACAAGTTGGTCGCATACTAATATAACGATGTTATAGTGAGACACGTGCCAGGAAATCCAATATAATAATCGGCATTTAATCTTATCTCATAGTATTTTATAGATTACCAAAAAGTACCTATTGGCCTGGAAATAATAGTCTCGGTAACGTTTATGAAATTGTATCAAATATAAGCAATCGTTTCCTAAAATAAGTTATATTATAAATGTTCACGATTTTGAACAACGGCAACGTTGCACTAATTATTGGTAGGTAGAATGTACGCAATCGTAATAATGAAAAAGGTCCATACGGAATCGTATCATACGCAATCGTAATGCACCCACTGTAGTGATAGTTAAGACTCCAAATTGGTATACAATATAGTCGACTGTCGAGAACATTATCTGTGAAAGTGAAATATCATTTAAATTTTTTGATATCACTTATACGAAAAAATGTCTAATTGTTTCAAAATCCAATATTCTTGTGTTTTTCAAACTTGAATAAATTTTTTTCTTGTTCCGATATCGAAAAAATAAAAATGATATTTCACAGCTAAGCTCTTTTTTTTATGCGGTGAAAAGATAGGTTCCTTGTATTTTAACTTCCCGTGTGGGTTTTTAGTTTTTGAAAAACATAACAATTTTCAACCTAATCTACCAATAATACAAATACAATTTTTGTTTGAAAATTAATATATATTTATATGATAATATTATGTACTACCTATATGGCTATATACTATATAGATTATATTACCTATATGTTAAAAAATATGAGTTTGTATATTTTCAATTTATTTTGACCATGATTCATAGACGATGTACGATAGGACAGTGTACAAATACCAGAAGATGTGAAAAAATAATATGCTTACTAAATAATGATTTGAAGGGCCATCCTGACGATTGAGGGGCCCAGGGGAGAGTAAAATTGTGGAGCCTAAAACTATATTATGATATACCTATACCTAGGTGGTTACTGGCTAGGTATAAATGCGCAAATAGCCTTAAAAATATTGTTCCTTGTACATACAGCAATGAACAATATGAATAAGTAAATTATTTAATAATACCACACGTTGTGAGACGTTGTGTCAGCTTAGCATACTTGTATAAATAATCAAATTTAATAGTTAAAAAAAGGTGGGTAAGTGGATGTCGCTCTGCTGTACGCCTGTACAGTAGGTTACAAGTGGGTCACTGTATAATGGATGGTATTAAATTTGAATTCAATGATAAAATATCATTGTATAAGAAAAACGATTCTGAGCGAAGAAGGTATGTCAGTCTAGGTTTAAGACATATTATATACATATCTATGGTATTAAAAAAAAATTGATCTATAATAAATTCCAAATTAATCATATCACAATATCCACTAGGTACTTATAACACGTTATACATCAATAACAAACCCTGATACTATCATTGATATATAATATAGTGTACTTTAGAAGTTTCAAGTAACCACGAATAGTATTATACACTCACAACAAAATAACTAAAATAGGTATGCTAGGTTTTTTAATATGTAATTTCGTCCCAAATTTGAACTTAAAATGTCTGTAAAAAATAACTGTGCTCATATAATTTTTAGATTTTTTGGCTACAGTATGAACTATTTATGAGAATCTTTTTTTTAAATTTTCAATCTTTAGCTATAAAAACTGAACATTTTATAATTTATTAATTACGATGGTTGATAATTTTCGAGATTTTGATAAATTTTGTCAAAATGCAATCTTTAAATGCTTATAAAAAAAAATTGTGCCTATGTATTTTTAATATTTTTCAATTGATATTGTAACAATATATCAGGAGCCTTGTATTAATTTTTCACACTTTTTGGCCCAACAGATAAAACTTTATTAATATTTATAGAAAAAAAAAACTAAAAAAATTGAAAACTGAAAATGTCCGTAAACGGCTCAAAAAGAGTCAAAATATTTTCAAAATTGTATGGTGTATAGAAAATGCTAATATAAACATTCAGTGAAGTTTTCATGTATCTACAGTAATTCGTTTTTGAATTACAACAAAATAAGGAAATCGCCACATGAGAAATCGAGTGAATATCCAACGTTGTAAAAATTTGAATTTCAAACGCTCATAAAAATTTAATTTGACTTTCTTATAGAATTTTTTTTTTTGATAAATGTAGGAAATCTTATAAGGAATCTTGTATTACATTTTCATATCTTAGATTTAAAAAGAAAAATTTTTATGAATTTCTAACTCGAAATAATTTGCAAATTTTGGTGATTTTTCCATATTTTGTCATTTTTTGAACTTTAAATGCTTAAAAAAAAAAAACTGTGACTAACGATTTTTAATATTTTTCATCTGTCTTTGAAACAATATAGTAGGAGCTTTGTATTAAATTTTCAAGTATTTTTACTCAATAAATAAATTTTTATTGATATTCATAAAAAAAAAAACTAATAAAATTGGAAACTGAAAATGTCCCTAAACAGTTCATAATAAATCAAAATATTTTGAAAATGTTATCGTGTATAGAAAATGCAAATATAAACAACCACTGAAAATTTCATGTATCTACGGTTATTTGTTTTAAAGTTACACCAAAAACCAAAATCGATTTTTTGGAAAACCGATTTTGCGTAAAAATTCCCGTTTTTCCTTAATTTTTATGTTGTTTTTTCCCGGCGCTCTTGAAAACTACTGAGAAATTTAAATTTTGACCTCCCCAATGCACCAACGATATTCACTTTCCAATCGAACAAGATACTGAAGTCGAAAATCGAAGCATTATTTCGACTACTTATCGTGTACACAGACACAAAAAAAATAAAAAAAATAAAATTAAAAAAAAAACACACATCATTGTAAAATCAATACATTCATCGTTTCACTCAGAATCTAAAATATCAAAAATATCTCTCGGTTAATAGCGCTACTTTCCGGTGAACCTTTTCTTTTTGACAGAGGCATAAAAGCTTGTTGGGAACCTTCTATTAAAATGTCTTATGTTAACTAAGAAAAAAAAAGTTTATGAATTTATAACTGAAAAATAATTTACAAAATTTAAAAATAATATCATGGCCATAAATAGCTCTAAAATAGTCAAAACTGTTTGACATTTTTACCATGTATGTCGTATGAAAAACGCTAATATAAATATTTGGTCAACATTTCAAGAGTCTACGACCATTCATTTTGAAAATACAACAAAATATCAAAAATCGATTAATGGGAATTCGATAATTTACCGCTGAATATCAAGTATCATAAAAAATGATAAAAGTTCACACTCATAAAAAACAATGCTTCGTTTGAGTCAACTTTTTTTTTTTATAGATAGAAAAACTTATGAGAAATTTCTATTAAAATACTAAAATCTTACCTATGAAAAAAACTTTTCTAACTTAAAAAAAATTTCTTATGTCTATAAATAGCTCAAAAAGAGTCAACATCATTTGAAAATATAAGAACATATGGAAATTTTTACAATTGTTGAATATTTCAAGGGTCTACCGTTATTAGTTTTTGAATTACAACAAAAGTTCAAAAATTGATAGATAAAAATTCGTTAATTTACCAATGAAAATACAATATTGTAAAATTGTTAAATTCAATCACTCATAAAAATTAATGTTACTTTCCTGTAAACGTTTTTTTTTCATTTAAGGTAGGAACATTTGTGGGAAACCTTCTATCAAAGTTTCTAATGTTAGCTATGAAAGAAAAAAACTTTTATGAATTTCGAACTAAATAATATTTTGAAAATTTTTATGAATTTTGTGAACATTTAACTTTAAATGCATATAAAAAAAAAAATTGAGCATATGTATTTTTAATATTTTTGATCTTCCATTAATTAAATTTATAAAAAACTTAGCATTATATTTTCAAGCGTTTTTACTTAGTGAAAAAGTTTCCATTAAGAATAATTTAGAAAAATTTGAAAAATTTCTCATAGCTATACCTAGATCAGAGTCAAAACATTTCGAAAATGTGACCACTTATGAAAAATGCTAATATAAATATTTGGTGAAAATTTCAATTTTTTACGGTTATTAGTTTTTAAGTTAAACAAAAAAATCACGGGACGCCTGGCAGATGTGAAACATCGACATTATTTTGTAAAAGTAATATGCAGAAAAGAACAGATTGCGATAGGAACTAAATATGTCATAATGATAAAATAAAATATTACGATTTTTTTTCAGTTAATGATGACTGTTTATTTAATAAACATTTATTTTCATTAAATACAAAAATGTATGAATTTATTTCAAATCGTGACTACTTAATTCGTTTAATCAGGGACTTCGGTAATACTGGTAATAGTGACATTCGATGTTGCCTCTGACGACGGTATTACTGTGACAATTGCTGCAGGGACTAAAATTATGTGTAGTACAAAATATTGAGTGTGGAATACGAAATTAAAAAGCGTGTAATGGCCTGTAATAACTATGGTAGCTCTTTTTTACAATTTTTTTTTCATTAATTGAAAATTATTTCATTTTTCATTGGGAAATAGACATTTAAATATTAATAATTATTATTACGTATTATTAGTAGTCGGTTTTACAAGTTTTATTTATAGATACAATATTTAAAATATTATAAAACAAAAATATTTCGAATAATCGATACAAATAATTATTATCAAACAATAGTTACTGAACGTATTTAGGTACCTATATTTTTTTTAAAGAACCATTAACATAGGTATGTTGTTTCAAATCAAAACAAAATGATATTATTGTTAATGTTTGAAAACCATTTATGATACAATCATTTTTTTAATTATAAGTATTTTTAAGCCTTGTATTTATTTATAATTAAATATTAACAAAATGGTAATTATATTAATTAGCTTTTAAAAAACATTTAATCATTCAATTACATGTGATTGAGAGTATCTAATATTGTAGTCTGGAAAGCAACGGAGATTCTTATTTCAAAATTCACTGTCTATAAATGACTATAT